GCTTCAAGTGTGAGGAGAAGTTTACTCCCGGTCATCAATGCAAACAGGCCTTTGTAATAGAGGTGGCCAACCCCGACGATGAGGAAGCTGAGGTCGAGGAGGAACTACACCTGGAAGAGGAGATTGAAGCATTTCATGAGGAGCCTGAGATCTCGATGCATGCAATGGCTGGAATCAGAGGACCTCGAACGATGCGATTGCCAGCCTAGGTCAAGGATCGGAAGGTGGTGGTGCTAGTAGACAACGGGTCATCACACAACTTCATCAATGCCGACTTGTCCCAGAAGCTGAACTTACCAACCACGAATATTGAACCTTTTGAGGTACGAGTAGCTGATGGTGAGAGGCTGCAATGCACTAAATCCTTCCGGAAGGTGCCAATCAGGTTCAGTGGAGTTACAGTGAAGGCTGATCTCTGTGCCTTACTGCTGGTTGGGCCGGATGTCGTCCTAGGTGTACAATGGCTTGAAGGGTTAGGCAAGGTGACCACCGACTATCGGACAGGAATTATGGAGTTCAACACCGACTATCGGACAGGAATTATGGAGTTCAACTCTGGAGGTCAGCAAATCACTCTGAGTACTGGCAATGAAAAAGGTACCAAGGAGGTAGGGCTTAAGAGCATTGAGAAAGTTTGGCGGGGTGGAGGCCAAATATTTGCAGTAGTGGTGGAGAAGACTGAGGCGCACATAGATCAAGAGGAGCAACAGCAGGGAGATGTGCACGAGCTTCTCCAGGAATTTGTGGGAGTACTGGGCGAACCTAAGGGACTACCCCCACACCGGGAGTTCGATCATCGAATACCACTGATCAACGAGCAACACGCCATACACGTTCATCCTTATAGGTACGCTCACTTTCAGAAAACCGAAATCGAATGGCAAGTGGCCGAGATGCTTGAATCAGTACTAATCCAGCATAGCAAGAGTCCATTTTCTTCTCCAGTATTGTTAGCCAAAAAGAAAGACGGCACGTGGAGGTTCTGTACTGACTACCGAGCTCTGAACGCTGCAACCATCAAGGACCAATTTCCTATCCCGAGCGTCGATGACATGCTCGATGAGTTAGCCGGGTCACGCTATTTCTCAAAGCTCGATCTGAGAGCTGGTTACCATCAAATTCGACTCCATCAGGCCGACATTCCAAAGACAACATTCCGTACGCACCAGTGGCACTATGAGTATTTGGTTATGCCATTCGGGTTATGCAACGCCCCATCCACTTTCCAGTTCGCTATGAATTCTATCTTCAAGGAGTATCTATGTAAGTTCGTTCTGGTATTCTTTGACGATATCTTGATCTATTCGAAGTCATGGGGCGAGCACCTTGGGCATTTAAGAGTAGTGCTCGAAATTTTGGAGGCCAA